TTCACGTACCTGTGGGCAGGGAGGGCAAACAAGTGCTGACAGCAGAGTCAGCAGATGCTCTGTGTGCCAGCAAGGTGGTTTTGGATGGGCTGCCATGGAGAAGGATCAGCAGGCTGGGGGTAGTGGCCAACCACATCCCTACTGTCTCTTGGCACGGATGAATGTGCCAGGATGCATCTATGGGACAGGATGGGTGTCCATGAACAGCTGTGCCCAAAGCAGCCCCCTCCCTGTTCCCACAGGGATCTTACCGCTTTGCCATCGCTTCTTTCTTCTGCGTGATGTCAGCCTCCATGTCATGCCGTGAGGGCAGCTCGTTCAGCCCTAGGGAGAATAAGGCACAGCATGGTGGGGGCTGCACCTCGCTGGCCACAGCAGCCACTGTGGTGCTGACTTTTCCTGGGTGCTCTGTCCCTGCCAGCATCACCATGGGAGGTGTCTGGCACCTGAGGCATGCCTGGGCTCCTTGGGATGGGGGAAGGAGCATCCCGTGGAACTCAGGGTATGAATGTCCCTGTGCCTCTCAGGCAAGAGCCCATCTGACCATGACATCTGCAAGGCAGCCATGCTGTTGCCTGCAGCCAGGATGGCACGGCCAGCTTCTGCATCCTCAGCATGACTGGGCACCATTTGCTCTGGCTCCAGGGGTGCAGGCTCAGGGCAGGTTTGCCTCACTTACCCTTGAAGACGCGAGTGGCCCAGCGACACTGGAGCTCAGAGATGGGCATGATGGCACCCAAGGGCTGGATGAGGCCAATAAAAGCCAGCGTCGGCTTCTCCAGGTCAGGGGGAAACACGTATTTGTAGAGGGGGATCTGGTTCTCCACCACTTTCACACAGCCCTCAAGGAAGGGGAAGGAGAAGCTGTATCCTGTGGCAAAGACCACAGCATCGACATCTTCCCTGGTGCCATCCTCAAAGATGGCACATGTCTCCGTGAACTCCTGGATGTTTGGCTTCACCTGCACCCTGCCCGAAATGATGCGGTTGGGCAGGTCGTCATTGATGGTTGGGTGCTGGTCAAAGACCCTGGAAGGTACAAGGAGCCATCAGGGCATTGGGAGGGGAGTGTCTGCTCCGTGTCCTGCTCTAGCCACTGCTCCCTGCTCTGGGGATGCTCATCCCCAGGGATGCTCTTTGTCAGAGGGGCTGGTCCTCCAGGGATGCTTGGCAGCTGACACCGCATTGGTGCCACCAAGGGTAGCTGGAAGGGGCAGTGGTGGTTCCCTTGAGCATTGCCTGGGCACAACACAGCTATTAACCTGGTTTATTAACCAGGCACTGGGAGCATGGAATGGCCAAGTGGGGTTGGACATGGTGGGAGGTGGAGGACCTCTTCTGGGCAGGAGGAGCATTTGCTAATACCTGTGCTGTGGCTTCAAGCCATAGTGTGAGTGGTTGAACCTGGCATTCAGCTGTTTCTCCACGTAGTCACACACCAGAGATGAGCTCAGCAGCTGCTGCAGAAAGACCTTTATGCGGGTGGTAAAGACGGTGTCAAGGGGGTAGCCTTGGTCTCCAACGCGGTTGAAGATCCACGCGCCCCGGCGGGTGCTGAGAAAGACCTGGACAAGGAAATAAGCATCACCTCCTGAAGGCTATGACAGTCTGGCGGGGTTGCCCTGGGGGGGACATATTCTTGCCCTGGGATCGCTCGTCTTCATGCTGCCCAAGCATGACACAAGGACCAGAGGGCAGAGGGAGCTGGCGATGGACCTAGCAGGGAGAGGTAGGGAAGCACCACAGGAGCAGCCTCTGCCTGGGGCTTGGGATGGAATTTGGTGTCCATGTGGGATCAAGTCTTGACTGCCACCACTGTCTGGCTGCTGGGATTGGTGGGTGCACTGCCAAACACAGTGAGTGCTGGGATGGAGCAGTGGCTGTGCTAGTGCCTTGGTCCTGGTGTCCTCCTGGAGCCAGAAGTCTCCCATGGGGGACTACCTTGCCTGCTAGGATCCCACTCCTGCTGCTCACCTGCTTGGCTGTATGGCTGATCTCCACAGCCAGGTCCGACCCCGAATTCCCAATCCCGATGACAACAACCCTCTTGTCCGTGAAATCTCGAGAGTCCTTGTAGTCTCGGCTGTGGAGGTAGCGGCCCATAAACTTCTCAATTCCTGTGAGCAGGGAAGAGGGATGCTTGGTTTCTTGGGCTGGAGGGACACCTCCCCAAAAACTGGACATGCTCTCTGGCCCCACCAAACCAGACCTGGGGAGTGTGGGAGCACTCCTGGAGCCAAAGCAAGGCAGGGAAACACTGGGACTGGTAGGAAAAGCAGCAGGGAGAACAGGGACTGGCATGACTGGACTTTCTGGGGTGTCTCCTCATGCCAGGGTGCAAGGCAGTACCTGGGAAGGTGCTCAGTGGGAGA